ACATGTATGGAGTTTGGGATTCAATGACAGAATTGTTCATCAAGTACAACATAAACATTCAGCACCATGGTACATTCATTTGGACATTCAGTGTTTATTGGATCCCTAGTTCCATATATACAGTAATAGATGTCTATCGGTGGCCCTCTTTTATCTTCAAATATAAAATCGACAAAACATCTCAAGTATGAAATCGTTTGTCAATATTCTATGATTTGATACTTTATTCTTAAATATATAGATCACCTCTAAAGACATTTACAGAACCGTGAAATCTGTTTTAGTCAATCAATTGGTCATATATTTGGGGTTTTACTTCTTCGCGTATTCAACGCTATTAAGACATGAATACAAGAGCTGTGCCATCAATTACTGGCGATTTTTATTGCAATTCTTGTTTTGTTCGGCTATTCAAGAGATTGGCTTTTACTACACCCACAGGTTATTGCATTTCAACAAAATTTATAAATATATTCACTCTAAGCATCACAAGTGGACAATTCCCACGGCTATGGCATCCGTTTATTGCCATCCATTTGAACACCTAATCTCCAATATTGCACCCATTCTTTTAGGTTTCATTTCTAATACTGAAGCCTTTTAATAGACTATAAATGATTTGTATTCAAATATAGGTCCACAGCTATTGAGTTCACATCTGGCCTTCTTATGGTTTTGGTTAGCGATGTCCACCTTATACTCAGTGCACACTCACTCAGGCTTTCATCTGCCCCTCACATTCTCACCTCAATTCCATGATTACCATCACTCCCAGTATAACACACTTTATTTGTAGTGATATTTATTATCATTAATATAACCTTTTCTTTTAGTCCGACTCAAAACTTTGGTACTTCTGGTCTTTTGGACAGTTTTCATCAAACGGACACTCTTTTCAAGAAATCAAAGGAATCGCAACGAAATAAAATCTTTCTAACCTTCAGAACTCCTTACGAAGTGTTTAAATAACTTTTGAAATGTTTATTAAAATGTTATTCTTTCAGATAACTATACATTTAATTTCTATAATACATATTTACATTTACTGTATTTATCAAACTAATAAATAATTGTTTCTGTTACATTTACATCAAACTTTTTCAATGCTCTCGTATCTAAAGGTAATTTTCTCAATCAAATTATAGATAGTGTCGAACCATTCAGAGGGAGTTCTTTCCCCTAAATATATGAGAAATTTAATAAGAAAGCCATGAATTGTCAAATATCTTGTCTGTGGCGCCGGACTTATAATACTGTCCACAATATTGTCGACCACATCATCGATACGATTGCCAACAAAGTAGTCAATACTTTGGGCCATTTTACCCATACTTTCAAAATACGACTGTCCGTACACTTCCTTCACAGCGGTGTCTGTGCGCTCCCATTCCCTGTCCATAACTCGCTTATAATTATTGTCCGCCAGAAGAGGTGTCCTATAGAATGCGGGCTCAATAGTGGACACCTGAACCCCCCATTGGCGGGACAGTTCACGTCTGAGGGCGTCCGAGAAGGCAGTGATCGCGTGTTTACTCATACAGTAATGACTTGCCTTCTGGAAAGTCATCCGTCCGTTCACTGAAGACATGAAGACTATTCTTCCTATTATTTTGACATAAATTTATTAAAAATCATTTAAATATGAATTCATATGCAATCATACCTTTTGAATGTCTGATTAGAGGCAAAAATTTGAGTGTCACCGCAACGGTTCCAAAAGTATTAACATTAATCACATTTTTATAGCCCTCCATCTGACCCCAGTCCACATGACCCAAGTGTGTGATACCAGCGTTATTCACAATAGCGTACAAACTCTCGGTGTTATCGATGAGATCCCGTTCCACAACTGTGTAGACATCGTCTATATCGTCCCGTTTGGTCACATTCATGGCCAGTATTTTGAGTCTATCTTTGAATAGACAATTATCTAACAAATACTTTGCTCCAACACTTTCTTTGTCCAATACAGTGGCGTATACTTTAAAACCCATTGCATTTAAACGATACGCCAATCGATTCCCAAACCCCGTATCACAACCTGTCGTTTAAAACAACAATAATTTACATGAAGTTATATTTTAATTGTTTACACAATTAATGAATTTTGTGTTCATTTACACACCTGTTATGAGTACAGCACCAGTACGTGGTTTTTGTGATTCACACTTTGTTTGCCTTCTCGTCCAGAATATTCTGAGTTTATCCACAAATACATAAGACAGACATAAAGTGGTGGTTAAAGAACCAAGCACATTAATTAAATAATTAAAGAAATGGATATAATTATATAAAATTACAATTAAATATAAAACTATAAAAAATGTAATAAAAAGTTTAGCATTTATAAAATATGACATTTTGACTACAGTATAACAATAAGTTATTGTCAATAACAACTGTAACCTTTAACAATTTTATTATAATACAGTAATAAAATTAATTTTTGAACAAATAATTTTGTATCATTTCAATTTATTTGAAATGTTCATAAAAATTCATTATATATTTAAGTTTTATGTAATTCATTGACAAACTCGTAGTAAAATTTTTACGCAATTCCTATACTATTGATCAGAATTGACGTTAAAATAAAGTTTATTTCATTCATTCAAATGAATACATTGTATACAACAAATAATTGATGCAAGGATTCAGTGCAAACAGTACATAACTACACAACATTTACAATGAATTTTGTATATAAAACATGTTCATTTTAAGATTCAAGAATTTTCAAGAATCATGTACTAAATTAATCTAATCATAACAGATTATAATTTGTTAATCCTATAGTTCCATTAAGGTGTTGTCCATTATACCTTGCTTATATTTTACAAATAAAGTGGAACATATCCATGAAGCAATTGACTCACATTTAAATGCCATTGAATTGATGTCATTTGCTGTGGAATTGTATAGTTTTTGACAAAACGGAATTTTTATTTAAAAAAACATTAATTTATAAAATAATTTAAATATGTTTTATCATTTTTATATGAATACAATAATTTTCTGTACAGTAATTCTCTCATTGTTATCATAAATAGAGTAAATGTCATGGTAACTTTTCAATGATTTTAAAAACAATAATTTTCCAATAAGATAACATTATTTGAATTTTGTTTAACGTTTGATCAGAACTTTAGATTTAATACTAATACCTGGATTAAGATTTTGAATCCAATAAATCTTTAGTTGTCAAGTCATGAAAGTGTGAAAACTTTTTGAGAGATGAGTTTCTGAAGTCAACATTATTTCTTTCATCGAGATTTGTATTTTGGTTGTAAGTATTGTTTGGCGAGCGAAACCAAATAGTGCCAGGGTACAATTACGTACAGTATAAGCCCCAATGAGTTATAATTACTGTCATTTGTGAGCAAATATATTTATCTCACAAATGAGAAGTGATAGCAAATGGTTTAACATATCAATGAAACCGTAATCAAATGACACATCAAGATATTAATTGCTTTATTAAATCAATATTACCAATAGGTGTCAACAAAAAACAATTTAAACAGAATTAGTATTAAAGAGAAATTTCACCAAAAGTTATATCAGATAATTGTTGTAGAGTTAGACTCAACCGAAACTCCTGTTCCAGTGATTGTTTGATCTCTACAGCCATCAGAGAATCCATTCCCAGTTCAGACAGTTTTGATTTATTCGTAATCTTTGACATATCTCTTATCCCTGATTGAAAAATGAATTCAATTTAGTTAACAAATCAATTATGTGACACAAATTCAGACCCAAAATGCTGGCAATCAGACCATTAATAGTGGACTTTTGGTTGCTTTGAGTCTCGCTTCTCAATACACTACTGACCACACTTTCAGATGAACGCATCAAATGGTTCAGAAGTGCCAAACATGAGTGTATGCTCTGAGGAACAGTACCACCGATTACTTGTGGGTTGTCTCCCGTCAAATACCTATCGTCCATAACCCTCACTTCATATATCGGTCTCCATTGGATAGCGAGCCCCGGGAGACCGTCACTGTGTCTCTGTTCGCATACGCGCTCCACATAAGAGTTGGCGTAACCGTAATTACTTTGACCGGCAGTTCCCCTCCCGGAGCTAACTGACGAAATGGCCACAAAATATTGCAATTCTGGACATAAAACACGCGACAATACATCCAAATGACTGATGGTTTGCACTTTGGGTGTCAACACTTCGGTCATCGACTCTTGGGTTTGGTCTTCAAACAAACTGTCGCTCAAAACCATTGCCACTGAGAATATACCGCAAACGGAGCCCATATTTGCCGCCTCTTTAATCATGGCCTCCAACTCTTCCTCATTGCTTGTGTCCACTCTTGAGATCAACACATTTGCACCCAAACTGGTCAGTCGTTTGACAATCAATTCCTGAAATTCGTTCTTAACGTCTGACCCACTCGTCAATACCAGATGTCGAGCGCCCCTCCACACCAACCACTGCGACAATTCGAGTCCAAAGTCGTTCAGTCCTCCGGTTATTATGAAAGACAAGTCACTTGAAAACTGTGTCCTGTGAATGGCTTCAATCTTTGCATTGAGACCATCCACATCTTCTGGATCTAAATCAGCGACAATTTCTTGACGGACTCTAACGAGGACTTTGCGTTTGTGTCCACTTTTTAAGAGATATTCAAGCGCTTCATTTGCCTTCTCTACATTGAATACTTTGCTTGTTTTAAACGGTTTGACGACATTATCACTGATTCCCTCTTCAAGAAGACTCAGCACTTGATATTTAACTGAAGTGTTCACTGAATCGTCGGTACTTTCGGTGAATATGTCCTCCAAATTGATTTTATCGATTGTTATATTTTGTTCAATAAATAGACCTATGATTTGAAAACATTGTTTTAATTCAAAACTTAATAATTGAGACAAACATCAAACCTTTGGCAATAGACGTGTCATTGGATGTGATCTCAATGTAACGTCCATTGGATCTGATGCAAGACAGACTCGTTTCCAATTTATATTCATTGGTGTAATTGAATACAATGTCCACTCCTTTGGCGCCGGTATTTTCAATGACAATTTGTTTGAAACAATCAACTGATGTGTTGATGACATGCGTGTCATCCAAGTCTGGAAACTCAACCATCAGTTCCTTCTTTTCATCGACAGTTCCAACAGTGACGTAAACTTCGCTGTGACGGCTCAGGCAGACAGCAATGGCCGCCCGACCCATATAGCCATCGGCCGAATGTACTAAAACAGTCTGTAGGGACTGGAGTTGCGCTCTGACTACCAGTGCCCAGTAAACTGTGCCGTAAGCCATGGGAACAGTACACGCCTCTGCCATTGTCCACTTGTCGGGCACCTGGATGTAATCATTCTTATTGTTAAACGCCAGAGTTGTGGCCAAACACGCGTTTGGTTTAATGCCGAGGACTCGACTCCCGGACTGAACATCAACGCCACTGAACTCAGAGCACAGCCCCGTATTTCGAGCGCTCTTTACAATACTTTTGTCGCTTTTGAACCGTTTTTCCGATGCGTTGAGTCCCGCGTAATACACAGTAATCAATGAATTGTGTTCACTATTCAACTGACTTTCGGTCCATAAGTTGTGTTTAGATTCAAACCACTGGACATTTGAGGTATTGTTGGACCTGATGACCATTGCATGATTGCATCCGCTCTTCGTCAGGTGATCCATATTGAGACTCAGGTATCGATAAGAACCCAATTCGTTGTTCTTATAGATATTCATCACAAGATTGTTGTCAAATATGGAGCTATCAATCAGTTCCTTAACAGTGACGGCGGACGCAGACCGAAGATCTTCCAACTCAAGAGCTGATATACAGCGCACCCGATGACCGCCCGGTTCTCTGCGCAGACAATTCACAAAACCTACGATTCCGCTACTGGTGTCGCTCCCATCGCCAGAGTCTGAGATCAACCAAATGAGACGCTCGGGATTGCGGTCGGACTCGACCTTCATTTCGTTCTTCAGCGGTTCAAACCATGGACTCAAGTCTTGATGAGTGACTCGAATGATAGCATCGCTGGTCCCGGGATTTCTGATGGCGTCTATTTTGCGGAACAAAAGCACAGCCGAAGTGCGCAGACCTTCAGTGTCTCCTCTATTGCTGACCAGCAAAAGATTACTAAACTTTTGTGCGCTTTCTATCAATTGGTTTGTGCCGACAATAGTATCACTAAATTTGAAACGCGTGAACAAATTTTTCTCAATATTTGTATATTCCATTCGCTTAAGGATTACAACAAATCCATTAATCTTTAGATTTGTGTTAATATAGCGAAACACGTCTTCCCAATCAATGCCGACATTTTTGTCACTTTTTGGTGTCGGGTATTGGTCTCTGATTATCACCAAATTTAAAGGATTGGTATTCGCTATTTTTGTGGCCATTGTCAGGTTTATATCAACTTTTTCAAATCCATTATTTTCTAAACAAGAAAATAGACCTTGATTAGTAACTCTAATTTCCTGTTTCCTAATTCTCTCACCTGAATCCTGATTAACTCCCAACGGATTGTATACGGAATACTTGAGCCTTAAATCATAAAACGAATTCTTCAGATATTTTACTACATATTCATAACAAATCTCTTGATTTAAGTTGATTTCCAGAACATTAAACTCTTCGGACGATTGCTTGTAATTCTCGAGTATTATATCAATGGCTGGTCTGAGAAGACTTTCCTCCAAATACAAGTTATTCAAAAGGTCTGTCCACGGCTTGCGGCCGTCAGCTGTAATCAACTGTTTGTTTGGCGGCTCTTTAATGGTGTTTATATTCAAACTCTCGATAATGTCTTTGAGAACCAGTTTCTCGGCTTTGATTCCATTTCTTTTCATCAATTCATTCAAGCGATGGTTGCTTTGTTTTTTGGGTTTATTCCGCGCCAAAGCCACTAAAACCTCGACATAACATTCACTCAATTCTCGCATCTCTTTCTGCAATCCATTTCCATCCATATATGGGATCCAAACGTACTTCTCGACCAACAGTTCTTCTTCATGTTGTCGACGCGACACTCGACTCACTCCCAACCCGTATATCTCTAGCCCTTCGGCCAAACAGTAATTACCCATAGAATTGGCCACAATTTGTTTGTGATCTCCAGAAGCAGCGTTTTGGCCAAAAAGTCTGGGATCGCAATGAATTGATTCAATGCTTGTGACTAAAAGGAGATCTCTTGTGGGTTCTAAAAGAACCAAAAACTGAAGCATTGCTTCCGTAAATTCAATCCAATTGCCTTCTGAGCGCACTTTTGCCACACAATTATCCATATCTGCGGCCACAATAGACCGGAAGCGATGGCCGTAATTATAGCCCCGAATAAGCAACTCTTTGCGTATGAAGTCTGCGCTCAAATTGTATTTAAATTCTGACTCTTTCTGAATGTTAATCACTTTCTGTCGCAACGGAAGGAACTTTTCGGAGACTTTTGGCACTCGAATACGACCGGAAACTATCAACTCATGGCTCTCTTCAATACTAAACTCTCCGTTCATTTGAGACAAATCCAGTTTAAAGAGCAAATGTGCGCTCTTTCCCACAATCGTCGCTCTCTTGAAGTCGACATTTTCAAAGATCACCGGCAATTGATCTCTTGTGGAACCACACTGTTTGGCAAACTCTTCCCAAACAAGCCATAGATAGCCAGCGGCCGGAAAAAGGATTCGTTCGTCGATACTGTGATCTAAATAAAAGTGGTTTTTGTCTTCTTTGAAGTCAATATCGATTGTGATATTTGACTGCAATTTGTGATTAAAATACTTGGGATATAATGGAACCAAATGGCTGTCGCTGTGATCCCAGCGCACGAGAGCGCCTACCGATTGTGTCCCTCTTTTGACAGGATAAGAGATCTTTGGATACAAGTTCTCGATTCTGGGGTTTTGACCTAAAGTGAAGAGTTGGCCCAAAGAGGTGAGTAAATGGTGTAAACTGTCGGCGCTCTTGCGTTTCATAAGACCGACATAACTACCGGCGCTCACACTGTGTTTGACCACATTCTTCAGCAGTGAATGCGGAGACACTTCGACTACAACAGCATTGCTGGGAATATATTGGAGCGCCTCCTGCAACAGCACCGGAGCCGTCAGGTTATTGACGTAATACTCGGCGCTTGAGTACTGACTCTCGGGTGTCGACCAATTGCTGGCCGGCACTGAAGTACTAATCCATTTATGACTTCTTTGACGCCGAGAAGTGCTCACAGACTTTAACTTCTTCAGCAAATCCGGTGCTATTGTCTTCATTTGCGAGCTGTGGAGAGCGATGTCATTGCTGTTCACCCTCTTTGTCATCACATTCTCTTTCTTTAGTTCCGACAGAAAACTGTCCACAACTTCATATACACCTGAAATGGTCACCGAATCGGGAGCGTTATGACAGGCGGGCACTACACCCGCTGGACATCTGCGAGTGGCCTCATCCCAGGACAACCCGACGGCAGCCATCAGACCCCGGGGCAGTTTTGCCTGTTCTATGCATTTGGCCCTCCAGTACGTGAATAACAACACTTCCCGGACGTCCAGCGCTTCGTCAATATAACCGCATAATAGTTCTCCCAAAGAGTTTCCTATGAATCCGTCGGCTTTCAGGTCCAGTGCTCTCAGAATGTCTATCAGTGCTATTTGGACGGCCGCTGTGCCCAAAGACGACCCCAGAAGTGACATTAAAGACTCGTCACTGTCGCTGAGGATTAGTTGCAAGAGATCGATGTCAAAGGGCTTCAGAATCTCAGCCGAGTTCCGAACGGATCGGTTGAAGATCTCAATTCCCATCAATCCTTTGGCCATTCCTGTCCATTGAGTTCCCATTCCTAACACAAAGTTATGCATAAATTGTGTGAATTATTGTTTCGTTTTACAAAATACCCGATAATATGAACCAAAGTGGACGCCGAACGTCTGATTTCGTGACATTTCTCTCCTTTTCCACGAAGCCATTGATGGACACATCGCGGATGGCATAGCCTTTGAAACCGCTGGCATTGGACTCGTGACCAGCGGTGACGTCATTGAGAAGCGTGAGAAAGTCGTCGGAAACCCTGTCTTTGTGGTCGCGAATGAAATTCAAAACAAAGTCAACGCTCTCTCGAGTCCTTCCGTTAACCAAAACAAGTCGTCGTGACCAGCGGTGACGTCATTGAGAAGCGTGAGAAAGTCGTCGGAAACCCTGTCTTTGTGGTCGCGAATGAAATTCAAAACAAAGTCAACGCTCTCTCGAGTCCTTCCGTTAACCAAAACAAGTCGTGGCATTTCAAAGTTGTATTGCTGTCCGCCGTATACGTGAACAGCATTTGCAGTCGATTTGTGGTTCGGTCGCAGTAAAACCTGAACATTAGTGCCGCCAAAACCAAACGAGTTGACGGCAACCACACTGTCCTCGAAGACCATGTTTTCTGTGACCGGATGTATAGATCCATCTACAAGTGATTTAATGTTGGGATTTGGGCGCTGCAGATGAAGACTGGCCGGAAGTTTTCGGCTTTCGAAAGTTATTACAACTTTGGCTTTTAATGGATAAATTAAATATTGTATATAAAATAATTATCTTGATAATTATTATACCTAAAGAGCACAGTCCCGACGCGGCCTCACTGTCACCCAAATTGGATTTAACGCTTCCCAACAACAGTGGATCCGTTCTGTGGATTCAATAATGTTTTACACAAAGATTAAAGTCATTTCCCAATCACTCACCGTTTCTTTCCGTATACTTTATAAATGGCATTCGTTTCGCTTTCGTCCGCCACTGGAATACCGTTCCCGTTGGCCTCCACATACCGGACCCATTCCGGGTTTACTGAAGACTCTGTGAGCGCAGTTTCCATCAACTCTATCTGCGACCGAGTGGACGGCTGAGTGATTTCCTGCTCTTTATGGCCGTCAGAGTTGGTCTTCGCGTGAATGACAGTGGCGTACACTCGACGAGCGAATCGTCTCTTTTGTAGAACGACTGCAGAGACGGTCTCCGAGCGAACGAATCCGTCGGCCGTGACGTCCAGAAACTTACACTTGCCGTCAGAGGACAACAAATTCAGTTTCTGTAGCTCTAGAGCCGAAGTTGGGTTCAGATTAATGCTCACTCCGCCCACAATCGCCATTTCAAACTCATTGGCCCGCATTCCAGAGTAGGCCAACTGCAGGGCCACTAGCGATGAGCTACAGGAGCTGTCCACAGACACAGAGGGTCCCCTCAGGTCAAAGGTATAGGACACTCCACAATCGCCATTTCAAACTCATTGGCCCGCATTCCAGAGTAGGCCAACTGCAGGGCCACTAGCGATGAGCTACAGGAGCTGTCCACAGACACAGAGGGTCCCCTCAGGTCAAAGGTATAGGACACCCGATTGGACAGCATATGGCGTTTGGTTCCTATGAAGTCCTGACCAGAAATCTTTGTCGGATCACTCGTCAGACTCTCACCGGTCTCTGCGAGGGAGGCGCCGATAAATACTCCGGTGTTTGTGCCTCGAAGTGCTCCCGGATTGTAGCCTTCAATCAGCGGTAAAATCATTGCAAATATTAAAACAATTGACAAAATTACATTCGTTTCGGTTTAAAAAGCAATTGTTTTCGGGGCAGACCTGAGTCCACAATAGCCTCGTGTGTGACCTCCAATAACAGCCTTCCCTGCGGGTCCATATGGTCGGCCTGTTTACCACTTAAGCCAAAGAACTGGGCGTCAAATTTGTCCAACGATTTTAATTTTCCGCTCCGCGTCGGCAATCCATACAAACCCCGCGGCCATCGCCGCTCGTCTTCAGTGACGAGATCTTTGTTGGCAAACAAATTGTCTCTCAATTCGTCGATTGTGTCCGACTCTGGAAAGCGTCCCGATATTCCACTGATGACAATGTCGTCCTCATTGTCCACAAAATAGTCGCTTAAATTCATTAGAGATTTGGTTTAAAGATATATTTTTACTTTATTTCTGTATTTAATTTGTTGTACGGTTTACACAACTATTTTCATCAACATTTTTATCGGTTTGTGATTTTATGGTTTTTTGTTAATTTTTTATATAAAATGTTACAAATATTGAACTTTCAGGATATGAATTTGGTGTTTAAAAGTGACAGGATTTGAATTTAGAGCACCTAGAAGACTTTTATAAAAACTATTTTATTAAAATTCTTCTATATCTCAATTATAACCACAATTACAAACTTTTATTAACTTTCTATTAGTCTAAAGTCTACAGAATATTTGAATTAAAGCTATAAATATGTAAAATTTAAATTGTGTCCACTTTTTAATAATTTTATTCACTAAAAATTAATTAAAAAATTTCCTGAAATTTGACACAAAAATTGTGATAAAACACAATAAACTACATAATGTTTGCAATGAGTTCTTCAGATCATCGACTTTAGTGTCAGTGTTTGAGAGCAACAAATCAGTCCATCCTATGGTCCCTATTAGTGCGCTAACCCTGTCTCTAATCCCTGGTCTCTAGTGAGTCTACTGTAGTTAGTCTCTGGTGTCTTAAATTAACATAATTTTAAAACTCATTTTGATTAAGTTTTTCAATAATTAAATTATCTGAAACTTCTAATTCATAAGTAAAATGAATACTTTTTTCTCTAATAATAATAAAATAAGTAATTGAAATAATATCTAAATACTTTTTTGAATATTATTTTGTATACATTAATTGTACTATAAATGAACTAAATGTGAATAAAATTCAATTGATTAAGTGATTATTGAGCAGGGTGATTGGGAAAAAACTTTTAAAGTTTCAAAAAAAGTTCTAAAGCATTGATTGTTATTCACAGAAACTGTTATTCATTAGAGGAGTTATTTAATGTATTTGTTTTCTATAATTGAATACAGTTCCCACGCCATACAAATTCACTATTATAAATGTAGTCTTTGTACTAATTATATATCAGACTATTTATAATTATTTAGTTAAATCTGATATTAAACAAAATAATAAAACATATCATTAAAATAAATACTTTTATCGAGCACATTTTGCTTTGTACAACAGTAACGGTTTAGATTGTAAAACAAAAAAAATGAAAACATATTTTCACCGAACAAGTGGGCCTTTTACCTAAACATACGCATAAAGTAAACACAACAAAAGGTACCAAATATTTTGACTTAGGGGTTGGCCAAACACGTGTAACGTTATGAATGAGTTGTGTTTATGAGGAATCGATAGAAAGCCATATTTGTAATGAAAGACAACTAAAACCCAAATATAATTACGGACTAAATATAACCGCAATTAAGGCGACAATCACTGGCTTTGTGGCCACCGATGGATACGTTGGCCACGAATTTCGCGATGGCGTTGACCGCCAAAGACAACATCATTGAGGAGAAGCTCAAGGAGATCTCGGAGTTGAAGCAAATGGTGGAACAGTTGAAGAGAGAGAAGGAGACGGAGAGCAGAGGGAAGAGTGAACTTCAGCTCCGGTTGGACTCAATCGCTGTCAACGCCACAGACGACCACCTCTTCGCCGAAAACCGCTTCAGTTATGCCGAAGACAACGTCGACTTCGACGACTACACCACTATTAGGCGCTCCCGACGCAAGAGACGCCCCAAAAAGGTCTGTCTCTGTCCTCAACACGAGTTTCGCGTCTTTCTGTCCACTCATTGATTGCCGTCTTTTCGTCCAAACAGTTGATCGACGCCTCGGTTGCACCGACACGAGCGACACCCTCCACAGCAGAGCCCACACCTAATGGCCACCGACGGAGGGGTCGGCCGCGACTCCACAAAACCGAAGACACGACCGCCGCAGCCATTGGGACGGATCAGCAGCTCGTCGACGGCGCCAACGGGGAGCTCGTGGCCGACGGGAAAGCCAGTGGAGTGTCGGCGGGCGCCGGACAGCCGTTTGTACAGAAACGCAAATTCCCGCATCACTGCGATTGGCCGGGATGTGAGCGCTCCTTCAGACGGTATTTGGCTCCACGTGTTGTGTGTTGTGTCTCACGAATGCTGTCTTTCCCTTAGACCTGCTTTCTTAAGGAAACACAAACGCGTCCATACGGGAGAGAAGCCTTTCAAGTGCGAGTGGGAGGGCTGTACGTTCGCCAGCGCCGACGTCTTCTGTCTGCGCACTCATCAGATGCGACACACGGGAGAGAAGCCCTACAAATGCAAAGTGAGTGGTTGTGGATGGAGTGGACGGCAGCAGACGAGTTACGACAGACACCGGCGCGTCATCCACGGCCAGCAACGGATCTTCCAATGCGATTGGCCCGGATGTGACCGTCGCTATCGAGACAAGCATTCGCTGAACTATCACCGGAAGTCACATACGGGCGAAAAGGAGTTCATGTGTTCATATCCGGGGTGTGGGAAGCGCTTCATCGGCAGAAGCGATATGAAGAAACACGAGAGCACTCACAATGCGGTCAAACCGTACAAGTGCTCGTGGCCCGGATGTGGACGCAGTTTCGTACAGAAGCGCTACCTCACACTCCATAACCTCAAGCACACAGGTATGCGGTGGACAGACAGACAGACGGTCGTCTAGTTGTGTTGTCTAACGGTGTTTCCGCCATTAGGAGAGCGTCCGTTTCCGTGCGATTGGCCGGGCTGTGAGTGGCGCTCATTCACGCCTCACGAACAGGCGAAGCACAAGAAGACACACACCGGAGAGCGCCCGTATCCCTGCGAGCGCTGCGAACGGCGTTTCGCCGACGAATCCAATCTTAAGGTACGGCGCAAAGTGCGGTCAAAGGGTGTGGTATTAACGGTGTGTTGTGTTGTGTTTGCACTTTAGGCACACTTGCGGACAGTACACGAGGGCCAGAAGAACCATCAGTGCGCTTATCCCGGGTGTGGCAAGAAATATACGGTCCGGAGAACGCTTCTCATACATCAGATGAAAGCGCACCCGAGTATGGCGTCGGGGATCATCACCACTGGTCACTCATTATCATCGGCAGCGCCCGTCTCTCTGCTCGAAGTGGACGACGGATCAGAACAACAGATTCAGACAATTATCGTCACAACCGATGAATGAATAGATTTTTAAAGTTTTTATTTGTTTTCTAATTCTTCGATACATTTATAGTTAATTATAATTTGTGTATAAAAACGATTTTTTCTCGATTTACACTTCATATGAGTTTTCACAATGAAAACCGATTTCTTTGTATTTAATATAAATTCAATTATGAGTTTCAATAAAATTAGAGCTTTTTTACATTTTTGTCAATTATATGCGAGATATTGTAATTGCTTTTAGATTTTCATTATTTCATTGTTTGCGTCGAAACGTTAATAAACGAGTCAATAAAATGGTAGTCATACTGTACTGCCTTTAAGAGGTTATTTAATTGAGTTTTAAAGTTTGACAAAATTGAGGGAAACATAGACAGGAATTTGGAAACCATTGAACCATTCGGTCGTTTAACTCAACATTTCTGTGTTTGAATTCATTTTAAGGAAAACTCTATTTTAAATCAAATAACCGAAAGTCAATAAAACTTCTCTTCCTATATATCAAACATTATAAAAACAGAAAAATTATTACAAAAAAATTATTATTGATTCTCTAAAGTTGACAAACAATTGATAACATGTTTGTATTAATGTTTGCGATTATTTTACAAAAATTATTCATTATTTAATCAAATGTAGTGAACAGTGATTACAAGTCTATAAATGTCGAGTTCTTGTTGAGACACTCGTTGGTTACACACAGAGGTATGCAATAACTTAAGACAAGAATTATGTAATTAAATGAATGGATTTCTAGAGCTGTTGTGGAAGTGATTTGTGACTCCCATTATAGCCAACTTTCTCTAATGTGTTGACAATTATTTGATTTCATTTGGGGGTCGGCTATAATGAGAGTATATGTGATCTGCGATTCAACAAAATAGAGAAACAATCGTTGGGTTTAATGAACTTCAAAGAGGATTAATAATTGAAAGTATTTTACAAACACTTTATTCTTAATCCCTTTCACAACTAAATACTCGTTTTTTCACTTTTAATATTTTATTAGTTTTGACCACATTTTCATTAAAATGTCTTTTTGTAGACAAAGTTCTGATTTTATATTAGTTTTAGTAATAGTTTTACTTTCAGTAAAATTTACAAATTGTAATAAAGATAGCCTTAAAGAAGAAAACCACGAATTCGGCGAAAGGTATGATAAAACAAATGCCGAACTGTTTGGAAGTGAGACTCAATACACGATGGAAGGGAGGGCTGGCGGTGCAGAGCCCACCAATTTGGGCACAATATTCAGTCAGTTTTGGAACTCTCTGTATGTGAACCGAGGCTTCAATTCGTCGTTTGTCTTATTATTACCACTCTTTACGGTCACAATCCCTGGTTATGGTCGCGGACTTGAGCACCAAACGCCGCTTTCAGCACTTAATGTCGGTCTGTCTGTGAATACAACTGTTTTAAACACTTTTTGTAAAAAATATTTACGAAATTACAGGAAATTTATCCATATTTGGAATAATTCTGTTCGGAAGTATAGCCTTATGGGCTCCGGTACTCTTTCCCGACTTTCGTTTTGAAAACAGTCAAAGTTTCCGTAATTTTCCCGATTTGGAGACGATTCCCGACTTTTTAGGCCGACGTTTACTGGAATTAACGGAACGTATTATCGGTCGAAGTCTGGAAGCGGACCACAAAGAGCGCAAAGTGAAGAACTTTATGACAACTCGATTGCAAACTTTGATTGATTTTGTGATGAGTTTTGTGGACAACTTATTGGACAAGATGCCGGAATATGCGGGACTTGATCCACAAGAATGCATTCAACGCAGTGTTTGTGAGGCACACAAACATCAGCACCGGTTTGGAGTCATTGGAAGAATCGTCAGATTCTTGTTTCGGTCAGTCTTTTGCTGGTTTTGAGTTTCAAATCATTTTTCATAAATTAATTTTTGCAGACCTTATGGAAAGCAGAATAAAAGATTGAAAACGGAATCCAAATACCGTTTGGCCGCTAATTATGGTCTAAAAGACAAGTCTATTGAATGCGAACAACGTTTCAATAAATGTGACATTAATTTAGTTCATTTGACTCATTATTTCTATGAATTCTTGTTTTGAAAAACCATTGAGTGATTGAAAAATTGCATTTCAAAAGTTGTCAATAAAAACAAACTATAATTGGCTTAAGACTCACTTTAATTGTTACGACGAATGAGAAGTCTTAGCATTGATTTGGTGACCCCTCTGGACAGACGGGGAAAGCGCACAAACAGGCTGTCGGTGTCCCGAACAACACTTTTGCGTCCCATTCCCGTCTACTCTGCACCACATTTATGGTTCTTTCGAGTGTTTCCCTCTCTTTGGCGACAATAGAGTCCACGACTGAACACATGAACCGTGAAGTTGGCTATCATTTGGAGACCAGTTGTCTCGCCTCTCATTTCCGATTCAACGCTTTATTCCGTCTTTCCTTTCCGTCATTCTTGACCACAATTCTGGGAATCTATACACAAATAAATGTCAATTAAATTAAAACAAATAAAAATTCAATAAAATTAACGAAAAAGACTTACTGTTGAGAAAGCACTTGAAGAGATGAAGAGACGGACCAAATGAAGTGATGATGAGATGAAGTGTTTGTGTTTTGTGTGTTTATTGTGCGTCTATTTTTGCATTTATTAGGGGGGGTTCGGTAGGCAGAGGGCCCACTGAACCCCGGGACAGGGAGGGGAAGGAAAGGAAGGATTTGAAAATATATTTAGATGAAGGCTAATACTAATACTAATACTAAAACTGATTTACAGGTCAACCCCGACTTACCCGACACTACAAACCATACAACCATTGATGATATGCCCGGTTGGGCCCAACGCCTGGAAGTGGTGGAAGTGGTGGTGAAGTACTGAAAACAAGTAATGAGTCCGAGTGCCCGGTTGGACACCATTCACCGTTCAACTCATACGCCAATACTATTCGGTCGCCAACTGTCCACTCGTCTGTCACTCTGTGCCGTCACTCGTGTTGTTCACTACAGACATGAGACACAGCACTCGTCATGTCCTTTGCCATGAATGTCGTTATCCATCATTCCTCAGCAGTTGGTTCTTCGGAGCCATCCATTGATACATATTGTTCAATGTCTTTATGAGCGAATGAAACGTTGCGTCCAAAGTGTGGTCACCGAAGTACAGGTCGTCGCTTGCAATCAGATCCCCGTAACTGTCGGACAGACATACAAAAAGTTTTGTCATTTAAACTCAATTTATGAATACGTGTGGGAATATCACACAAAGACATACCGTTTCCAACGTTGGACTCCATTCGCGAAACACTTGGAAGTGAGACACGAATTGTCGGACATTTGTCTCCAAACTTCACTTCCATTCGGAAAGCCTTCAACTCTTCGGACCCATAGACCACCGCTTCCATCGAGTCATCGGAATCGGTGTCATTGCGACCATTCCTGTGGTGGCCGTCAATCTGAACGCAGAGCTCAGCCCGAATACCGACGG